ACCTAAACATTTGTACCCCCATAATATGCTGAAATAAAAATATATATATATTTTCAAAATTACCAAGATAGCTATAATAAAGTAATATTACATGCTATGGACTGATTCATATCTCTCCAAAATTCGTATGCTGAAATCCTAATCCCCAGTGTGATGGTATCTGGGGATGGGGCCTTTGGGAGGTGATTAAGTTTAGATGAAGCCTTGAAGATTGGGCCCTCATGATGGAATTAGTGCCCTTGTAAGCAATCTGAGAGCTAGCATTCAAGAGCTCTCATACTCTTTCTCTGTCTGCTACATGAGGACACAATGAGAAAGCCACAGTCTATCAGCCAAGATCGTAGACTTGCAGACTCCAGAATTGTGAGAAAATAAATTTCTATTGGTTTAAGCTACCCAGTTTAAGGTACTTTGTTATGGCAGCTGTAGCTAAGACACCACATAAATGTAAGTTTTTAAAATAACGATAATTTATTTTTATCAATTCCTGACCTTGCCTATATAGCAAAATGTTCCCTCTTCAAGTTAAAACTAATTATAATCTCCTTAAGAAACACTATTGCATATCAATAAAATTGATTCGCAAAATTTGATTTCTCATGTCAAATCACATAGGTATAATCATCCTCTGATAAATTGTTCAAAAGTAGTTGTATTAACTGAATTTTTTAGGTTTTGCTTTAGGTTTTCAATTCCAAGTTTTGTTTATAGAGCTCTTTGATTAAAATAAAGGCTACAAAACAAAACAAAAAAGAAATAAAAATAAAGGCTACATGGTTTTTAGTAAAATTGTGTGCCTATGAATGAGAAACAAAATTTTTGATATAAATGGTGTGTTTAGCTTTACTATTTAACGCTGCTGCTTGAATATTTCACTTCACTTCAGTGGCCCTTTTTTTTGTTGTTGTTAGTTTTTGTTATTTTAAATTAAGCAAAATCATCCTTGCATAAAATTTTCTCGTTGCCACATGGAATTTTCATCCACCTAATATTTATCGTCCACCATATTCAAAATGTTGTGACACCAAGTCATTTAAAATTTATTTCTGATTCTCAAGAGTGCAATATGAGAAAAAAAATCCCTCTTTTATTCATATCTGTGTGATTTCGTTTGCCATCAATGGTTTGGGCTATCACTGAAGCTCAATGACCCGTGGGTGCCTAGTATTCCAAATTCAATATGATTGGTTCCAATGAGGTATTAAGAATACTGTTCAAACGTAGATCTTGGATCTAGTGGCTTGTTTGGGCAATTCACAACCTCTCCCTCTCCAAGGCAGTTTCTCCTCTATGAAACAAAGGTCTTGGAAAAGACTGGTGATGAGGATAAAACCAACCCTAAAACTCCATGATTCCGCTTTTCCTGTCTTCAGAATCTAAAAAGATGGGCCATGAAAGAAAACCAAGTGCAACCTGGTCCAAGTCAATGAAATGTTTGCAAACGATGCTAAAGCTCGAAAAGAGCAAAGACAGCAGAAACCGTCCAATCAAAGTAAGTGGCTGACGGCTAATCTCGTGCAGCTCTACAAACTGAGAAGCCAACCAACTTCACCGCTTGGAAATTTTTAGCCGTTGGGCATAGTGACTTTCTTCCCAGATAGAAGTCTTTCTTTTTTCTTCCTCCCAGAGTTGCTGCGTGAGAACACCATTGCTCTGGGCAGCTCGCGAACGCCGAGGAGGCGAGTGTGAAACACACTCACCGACGCTCCCCCTCCTCCTCCCTACAGAAAAATGCGTTTCCAGGCAACGGCGGTCCGCGGCGTCACTTCCTGCCATTTAAACTCAGGTCCCCACCCCTCGCAGCCCCTTCTCCTCGCTTCCAACCCCCCTCCCCTCGGTCGTGGGCTTCATTCACGCTTCCCCTGGCTTGGGAAGGGGGCGGAGGCCCGGCGCGCCGAACGGCCCCGACTCCCGTGGGCGCGGCGCACCTGTTGTTTGCAGCAGCCCGGGACCCTCACTGCCGCTCTCTTCGGGCCCGGGCAGCGGCTGCGGCGGAGCGGAGCCGGCAGGTGGCCGCGGGCGGGGCCGGAGAGCTGCTGTGCGCGCCGGGCCCGACCACCGCGGCGTCCTGACGCGATGGCGGCGGCGGAGCCCGCGAGCTCGGGCCAGCAGGCGCCGCAAGGGCAGGGGCAGGGCCAGCGGCCGCAGCCTCAGCCTCCGCAGGCGCAGCCTCCGCAGCAGCCGCCGCCGCCGCAGCTCGGGGGCGCCGGGGGCGGCAGCAGCAGGCACGAGAAGAGCCTGGGGCTGCTCACCACCAAGTTCGTGTCGCTGCTGCAGGAGGCCAAAGACGGCGTCCTGGATCTCAAAGCGGTGAGCTCGGGAGGCGGGGATGGGGGCGGACTTCGGAGTCCTCGGCCCCCGGAAAAGCCCAGCCCCTCACCGCGTGGGTCGGGCGGCGTGGGGAGGACGCGCTCTCCGGGGACTGGGCGATGCGAGAGCTAGGGCCATGTGGCCTGCGACCGGCCCTGGACGCCGGGATGGGGGAGGGACGAGGGACCAGGATGGCCCCGACCCGCCGGGTAACCAATGGGGCCGGGCGCCGCGCAGGGCTGTCGACAAAGAGCCCAGGCCAGGACCTCGAGCGCGCCCGCGTGGCTTCTGTCTCCGGGCGCAGGGCCACCAGGGCCACAGAGTGTCTTTGCTGCTCCGCGTCCACCTGTGGCAGAGGCTCGCTGGGTATCGGACGTTCTGCCTGGAGACATCCTGGGGATTGATTTTTCAGTTGCGAATTGGTGGTTTTAATAGGCAGTTCTAGTTGGGACTATGTTCCTGTTGTTAAAAAAAAAAAAAAAAAGAAAGAAAGAAAAAAGGAACCCTGTGTACCATCTCTTCTCGGTGAAAGAAAAAAAAATGAACGTTTTTCCACACCCCTCCCCGATAAAATAATTATAGTAATAAAAACTCTCCGTTGTACGCTTCTTTTCATCAGTCTGCTGCCTAGGAGATATTTGATTTGTGGCTTAATTTGGAGTCTGTTATAGATTTCTAAAAGTGAGATTTGCCACCACACGAAAAGGACAGATTTTAAAACTTTCCCTGAACGAAGTTGAAGCGCTCATTAAACTCTCCTGTTTGCATGAGAACGAACGCTTCGTCATTTACCACAGTTCAGGTTTTTCAAACAACAACAAGCATCAAAAGCTATTCAGTCATACAGAATGACTTAACCGTTCCTTCTAGGCAAGATTTGGAAGGATTCCACAAGCGCTGAGGAAAAAGGGAATGTGGTTACTTGAATTAAAATTCAACCAGTGCATCAAGTTTAAGTAAAAACCAAAGCTTTGAAAACAAACAAAAAATATTGAGCTGGTAATCATGCAGATCCCCTCTCTGACCCCCTACATCTGACCTTAGCTTAGAGGCTCGGTTCAAGCACCCAGGGGAGTGCCTGGACCACCTTACCTGGTTTGAGGGTGTGTCACTGTAGCCTTAAGGCTCTGCATAAAGCAATGGCAGCATCTGAGCAGAGTGTGCCCTCTAGTACCTCCTGAGTGTAAGGACCGAGACTTGCAGAGTCCAACTCCTCTTCTGCTAGGGGCCCTCCAGTGTAGCCCAGCGGGGAGTATGTCTTTGAATGACCCTCCTTTCCCTGGATAATAGTAGGTATTCAGTAAGTGGTTGTTGAATTATCCAAATTGTTCTACTATTTACAAATGAGGCATACTGTACATATTTTGCATTTTTGGGAAATAGTTTCTACTATCTTCTTTTTGAAATGTTATTCATAGAATTTTCCCCTACCTTTGGAAATTCCCTGTTGTCTTTTTTTGCCCCACATCCCCTTCTTCCTTTTCCCTCCCTGAAAATGGTTTATGGCATATATAGTATTTAAATTGTAGTGAATTGAAATGGATTTTGTTTGAAGAATTTCACATGAAGTCATCAGAGAAAGCCAGGGATGTTACAAACTGTAGGTCGCAAAGTGCTGTTCAAAATCTAGAAATTCAACTGTAGCCCGTGACTTCAGTGTAAGAAATCAGAGAAGGTTATCCAGATAAAACTGAACTCTGAGAGCTGAACTTTGAAGGGCTTCTTCTTCAACTTGCCTCGGAATATGATGGAACTTTCCTGTTTCATCTGTAGCCACATATTAATAATTGCTCTACAGAAGTCACAGAGGCAGTAAGATGTAGAGTTTGATGCTTCATAACATAATTTCATTCATTCTAGAACTCTCCTAAAAGTTCAGAAGTTTCTGCAGTAACATTATGTCTCATTATATTAATGACTTTATATTCTTAGAAAATAGTTTATCGTTCTTTTTCACCTATATATGAAAAACCATACAATTTGTTTATTTACATATATTTTCATTTATTTTTGTATATACATGTAACTTAAATGTAAAAATCTTACATTGAAATCTTTCCAGTGAGGTCTCTTTTTGTATACCATAGTAACAGATCATTAAGATATTTTTGATAATACATGTTGAAGATAGCTTAACACTGACAATTATAAACTTCCTCCAATTTGAAATTATAAGGATACTTTTTTTTTTCTTATTGTCTCACTTTGGGGGGGTGTATTTTAGCATAACTTTTTGATACTCTTAAGTTATACACTTGAGTTTTTTTTAAGAAACAGTTACGCATTTTGTGAATATCACAAATATAAAAAATTATATCAATCTTCACATAAAATATCCAAATATCCTGCACATCCATAAAATATCCCAAGACCCCATAGATGCTATTTCTTTTCTAACTTAGAATATATATTCTGCTGAAGAATATAAGAAGAAAACGCTGTATCTTACATTTCTTCTTAATATTAATAGTATCACTAATTGGAAACATAACTTAATGAAGCAAATCAATTTTAATAAAGTTGTTCTGGTATAATTTAACAATTGGGGCGGAATAGAAACACATTGGAAGTGATTTGAGAGGATTTTGTTCATTATCTCCCAGTTTCACCCCTACTATGTTGTCTCATTTACAATAGTGTAGTTATTATTTCCTTAGCGAGATGAAAAGCTTATCACAGTCCTTTCAAGCTATATGTGGTTTGCCAATTTTTGTTGTTAATAGTTAACATTTATTGAGAGCTTGCTATATGTGAGGCATTTTACATATATTAACTAATTTTATCCTCTTAACAACAGTGCACATTTGGGCCTAATAGCCCCATTTCACACTGAGGAAATTGCTAGGTTAAGTTGTTACAGCAAGTGGTTCCGAGGACAAACCTAGCGGCACACGGGGAGTCGGAGAATCAAAGTTTATTCGCCAGCAGGCTCAGAGGAGTCTCACCACCAAATTCTGAGACCCGCCTACCTGATTTTTCCCACCTTTATTAAGTTGGGGTGGTCTGAGGGGTGGGGTATCAGGTGGCTGGCTAATTCCTGCCAGGTAATAGGTTAGTTGATGTGTCAGGTAATAGGTTAGTATTATGTTGAAGCACCAGGTAATAGGCTAGTTGATGGGCCAGGTAATAGGTTTAGTGTTATGCTGATGGCGGTCTTCCGTGAGGGGTGGGGGTCTCAGGTGGCTGATGCTCCAGGTAACAGATGGGGGTTTTCCTTATCAAAGTAGGCCGAGATAGGTTAAGTAACTTGCCCAAGGTCATACAGTAGAAAGTAAAAGCTAAGATTTGGAAAGGGACCATTTGTTATTTTTCTGTATGCGTTCTGCCTTTCAGTAGGCCTAAAAAATAAACTTAGGTTTTCATTTGTGTGAGGTCATAGATGCTATCTTGTAGAGGAAAATGCATGATCATTCTTAGTCATCTACCCATGGTAGAAGAGAAGGAGGTACTGAGCTCCTGCATTGGAAATAAGGGTATTGATCGCAAATCCATGTTATTGCACAAATTCAAGTAGGATTCCTAGTTTAATTTTAAATTCCAGCAAAGAATTTGAAGAACTGTTAAGATAGTCGTGGCTGTGTCTATATGTTGTTTTGAAAATTCCTCTTGAATATAATTTATAACTGAGTTTCTGTATTTTATTTGCCATTTTGGTGCCCCCTTGAAACTTTTTAAAGCTGAATCAAGATTGCATACCTCTTTTACTATAACTGTTTAAAAGTTACAAATTACCTGAATGATACCTGAGTTAATATGATAAAATATTTATGGTATTTCTTAGCTGACAAGTCCCTCATGCGTACCCATTTATGATAACCTGATTACTACACCTCCTAGAATATATAAATAATTTAACCTAAGGCCTTAGGTTCTAACACCAGGTGAAGATTTTGGGGTAGAATTAGCTTAAGGAGAGAGATATGGGTAGGAGAGCCAGAACTTTAGTGCATGCTTAAAAATGCTCAAGACATTTCCACTCGTGTGTATATACCCAAAGAATTAAAAGCAGAGTCCCAAGAAGATATTTGTACACCCATGTCCATGGCATCATTATTCATAATAGCCAAAAGGTGGAAGCAGTCTGTGTCCATTAGTGGATGAAAGGGTAAATAAAATGTAGTATTAACATATATACAGTGGAAGATTATTTAGCCTTAGAAAAGAAGGAAAATTTGACATATGCTACAGCATAGATGAACTTTGAGGACATTATGCTAGGTGAGGTAAGCCAGTCACAAAAAGGTAAATACTGTATGGTTCCACTTATATGAGGTACCCGGAGTAGTCAAATTCATAGAGACAGAAAGTAGAAGGGTGATTGCCAGAGGCTTGGGGGAAGAGAAAATGAAATTTGTTATTCAGTGGGTTTTATAGGCTGAAATGTGTCCACCCACAATTCGTATGTTGAAATCTTAGCCCCCAATACCTCCGAATGTGACTGTATTTATATAGGGCCTTTAAAAATATGATTAAGTTAAATTGAAGCCATGAAGGTGGGCCCTAATCCAAGCTGACTGGTGTCCTTATCAGAAGGGGAAAATTTGGACATACAAAGAGATACCAGGGATGTTCCACACAAAGGAAAGACCATCTGAGGACACAGCAAGAAGATGACCATCTGTAAGTCAAGGAGGGAGGCTTCAGAAGAAACTGAGTGGGCCAACACCTTATCTTGGATTTGTAGCCTCCAGAACTGTGAGAAAATAAATATCTGTTTGTTTAAGCCACCCAGTCTGTGCCATTTTGTTTTGACAACCCTAGCAAACTAATAAAATGGTTATAGAATTTCAGTTTCACAAGATGAAGTATTCTGAAGATTGGTTGCACAACAATGAGAATGTACTTAATACTGAAGTGTACGCTTAAAAATGATTTAAGGTGATAAATTTTATGTTATGTGTATTTTACCACAATTTTATATGTATATATACCAACAATGAGATAGCACTCTACTCCTCTTAGAATGGTGGAAATTCAAAGGACTGACAGCACCAAAAGCT